ATTTCTTAAAATGTTATTAGCTCTCACAAAACAAGATGTAATCTGTTAAATTTTTGTCTATATTACTTATTTCTTATTTATTTGTTACCAAATATTGCTTACATTAAGAAATATAAAATATTAACGAGGTATATTGTGTATTTAAGAATATGATTGTATATTTAAGAATATGAGTCGGTCATTCGATCGTGAAATATTACATTAATAAGTTCACCATAATATTTGAAATTTTATTAAGAATAAATATTTTAAAATATGAAAAATATTTTGTGAACAGAATCATATATTAAACTTTATTTTTATAACAATGGAAAAAGAAAGATATCATTTTACAAATAGAATTAATATTTCTAATAAATCTTAACCATTTCTGAATGTATCATTATACTATATATTGTTACATTTCATTGAATTGACACAAGCATTGGTTATCACACGTATTATAAAAAAATACAATAGTTCGAAAATAGATATGAGACTGAAACCAGCAAGTAATCCAAGTAAACCACCAAATGATGCTATAAATATTGATAAATATTATTATCATTTTCATATGTATGACATTTAAACATAAGAATGTTTATCTTACCAAAAATATTGCGCCAACTGTAATTGACTGATCGTCGATATTGAAAAGCGACTAAATCATTGAAGAATATATGTATTACACTATGATTGCGGATGCTGATACCGTTACTGTAAAATAACATATTGATAATATTAATATTAATAATCAATCAATGTAATAAGCCGAGATAAGTTTTAAAGAATAAGATTGCCTGGTATTGTCTGGTATTTGTCTCGATAGGCAAGATCTTAGGTGCCTATATAATATTTCTATTTTTTGTAATTCTGTTATACACACACAACACGCACGCATGCGCGCACGCACCACACACACACACACACACACACACACACACACACACGCGCGCGCGCGCGCGCGCGCGTGCTACTCGTTGCATTCGCGATTACTGGCGAGTGTAATATTTAGTTTTAGGATTTGGGCATAGGTCGAGGCGCGAGGAGGAGAAGAATCCGCTGAATCGTTATCGTTTTCTACGCACGTGGCCTCCATAGGTCGGGATCTAGCCGGTTATAATCGGCGACGCGATTATTAGA